GGCTTTGCAAACGAAGATCTGAGAGGGGCTCTACCCACGCTTGCTGCAAGCGCGCTGATGGCTAAAAAGGCCAATGCGAGATAGACAAGTCCGGTTGCAGAAGGCACAGCAGAAAGAATCCCCAGGTGATATCGACAAGACGTGATTCTTTCTGTGTTGTCTTTTCTCCTCGAGAGTGATCCTGCGTGTGTTCTCAAAAGCAGCAGCAGCGTTATAGATGGTGTGTCTCCAGGCCTCCCCGTTGGAGGCCAGGGTAGACCAAGGGTGGTGATCGATATGGCCAAGGCTGAGGGATTGTTTCAGGCAGTCCTTGTATCTCCTCTTTGGGGCTCCTCTCTCCCTGCAGCCAGTGGCAAGTTCCCCATAGAGCACGATCTTAGGGAGGCGTCAGTCCTGCATCCTGGAGACGTGCCCTGCCCAGCACAGCTGTGTTCTCAGCAGCATGGCCTCCTGAAGCACTTTGGCAACTTATTAAAAATAGCATTCTGCAGTCCTCTGAAGAATCCTTTGGGTTCTCCTCCAAGAAAAACAAGAACTAGTTTGATGAAAACAGTCATGAGAATTGTTGAGTAAGAAGAGAACTGCTCACCAAGCCCACCTTGCTCAGCCATCTTGTCATATAAGAAAAGCAGCCTTTTAACTCGCATGCAGCAAGCTACAACAGAAACTTTATAAAGTATTCAAGGGATTAAGGTACTGTGAATGGCTATTTTGAAAACAGAAGTTATTTCTTCTGGAGAGTTTTATGTCAATCTATTTTGTCAGGACGCATGTGCCACAGATACATTCATATGGAGAAACTAAATGAAATGTGGTGGTGTTTTGGATTTAGAAGGTTTAAGGTTTAAGGGGAGCATCAGAACTACTGATTTTGTTAGCTTCAGTTCCAATATTTTATTCAGTGTGGTAATTTTTTTTTCTTTCTTTTTTTTTTTTTTTTTTTTTTTTTTTTTTTTTTTTTTTTTTTTTTTTTTTTTTTTTGTGGTGGTACGTTCAGTTTATATTAGATTCCTGTTCCTTGGGTACTGAAGGACAACACACAAAAAAAATAGAATTACACTTGTAGCCCAGGCAACCAACTGAATCCCCATGGCAGTGGGGTTTGGGACTAGATGATATTTAAGGTCCATTCCAGCTCCCTTAACGTTCTATGATTCTGTAAGTTATGTAAATTGGCAAAGGATAATAATATTAGAGATGAGCTTGGATTTTGTACCTAGGAACTCTTCTTACCAATTCCTGACCTCAAAAATATTTATTGCTCGTGCTGTTTATGATTACACAGACTTGTTTGCAATCAATGAGATTGGTTCAGCTTTGATGGAAACTACCTTTTAAAGGCCAGGATGCTTCTGTTTCTCTCTTTTATTATGTTGCTTTGCCATTTACCCCGCCTATATCTTCTGTGCATTTTTTTGTTCAAGGTGATAATGCCTGCTACAAATTCTTCTTCTATCAGTGACATTGTCTCTCCCCAGGGTTTTCTTCTGCTGTGTCAAATTTCAGCCTGTAGAGGAAAATCCTGTCAGAATGGAAATAAAACATTGCGGTACCCCTGTCCATAAAGTAACTCATAAGAGTGTTATGTATATATATTATAATAAATAAGAGTGATTAATACTGTGAGAAAATAAGGATAGCTAAACATCTGTGAAAGCAAGCCAGCCAACAAGCAACAAAGCTCTTGAAAAATGTGCAATCCTTCCATTCAAGAAAGCAAACAAAGCTTCATAAATCAGCTAGGTAATGCATATGGCAAGTAGCATAATTTCTAAGTATAGCCTTATTCTCTCCCCTTTCATCATTTCATTAGGGACAAGAGCTGGTTAGTTTTATGATTTTTTTAATTCCTTTAGTATCTTGTGGGTACTACTGCAGTCTAAATTATATAGCTGTAGTTACAAAAGCAATTCTTACAGATAGGAAGCATCTGCTCACTACATTTTCCAAACTATTTCAGTATTTTTAATGAAAAATGTATTTGATGTTTGTCTTCAGGAGGGAGAGAATAATTAAGTATCATGCTTGGGGGAGGTTTGTGTTTTTAGAGCTGAAGTAGCAAGGCTGAAGCTTTAATAATAGGCAGTGTTATAAACTAAGGATACTAGCTGTAAGTAGCTGGATTCCAAAAGCTTTACTCTGGAGAGTGTCTTCTGAGATAAAGTATTAGGATGAGTCATGGAGAGAAACAATTGCAAGAATGGATGATAAATCATTCGGAAAATATTTTAAAATAGATTTAGAATTGGATATGAAGCCAAGGTAGAACATGAAGGAACAATGATCCCATTTGTCTCATACCTAAGTGGATTTTAAGAGTGTGTTTTAAACTAGTGGGAGTTTCCATATGGACTTCAGTGTTTGTTCCATATCTGAGACACTTTGCTAAAATAGTGTAAGGAGTTAGTGAGGAATAACTTATTTGGGAAAACATGGATGAATGGCTGTACTTCTGCAGATGAAGGATTTGTCTAGCCAAGCATCTCCTCACTATGGCAATGCCTGGTAGCACATATCTAGGAAAGAGTACTGGGGACTAATCATTTGTGCTTCTCACTAGAACTTTTGTGAAAACTTTCAAATCTTCTCCAGTTTGTGGCTGAAGAAATTCCTGAGACTGAGGTGGTGTATTTTCCTGTAAGAACTATAAGTTAATTTTTCATCTTTTCATCCAGTGGCATTCTTCACCCATGCAAGCTTTTATCATCAATTGTCTACATCTCCTCTATCTCAGAGGAAAGATATCTGAACATGGTACATGCATGACACATACACAGCCAATACCCATTCTGTCTCTTGCTGTCTAGACATACTCTTGTAGATTAGACCAACAAGAACATCCATTACAGTCCTGTAGTGGTTGTTCATGCCTGCCTTTCTGCCATCTCTATACCTCATGCAATAAGTGGTTTCTTGTTTATTCCCTCCTCACCCTGATTATTTAGTGGTTAGCTTAATATTTTATCGATACAGACTCCATTATGGTCTTTCACTACTGTGTAACCAACTCCTCTTTAACAAAGTGTTGATACTTGAACTCCTTGATAATAGTTTACACCATGTGGAAGGTGCCACTAATGTATGAACTGCCAGTGACACATCAGTTCTGTTCTACCTACGTAGAAAGGAAACAAACTTCAGTAATCAAAACAGAAACCAACCTTTTCCCCCACAACACTTTCTTCACAACACAGTCAAGAAATTAGGCAGGGAGGGCCAGTTGAACATGACTTCTGGAGGAATTTCCTTGCCACTCTGTTGCTGATAATCAGGAATAAAAAAACCCCTCATGCAATCTGCTGCTGTTAAACTGATACAGACAGTAAGTAGTCTATGATACAAATAAGGTATTTAGCATACTTAAGTTCTAATCCCACTGTATGTCCGAACTGTGCTTTAATATAGTGTAGATAAGTTACCTTTTATTCTAAGGCCACCAAAGATTAAAATCTACTGGAAGCTAGTCCCATGAGTATCCCTGACAGGAATTCCTGTTTATATTATGAGTAGAAGGAATTGTTGAAACTGGTTTTTTTGTTATGTTTTGTTTGTTTGTTTGTTTGTTTTATTGTAACTGGCAACTTCTTTAATTTCTCAGAGCTCAGAGCTCAACAGTGTTGTGTGAGAAATATTGGTACAGCTCTTAAGTCATTTATTTTTAACCCAAGAGTGCAGGACACACAGGCAACCCTACTGGAACCTGACTGGGCCACAGAACACTTTACACTTTTCCAATCATTCTCTGTTTACTGAATGCTTCATTTAGCTTAGGCTTCCACCTCTCAAAGTCTTCACAGAGACATGTAATTTATTCCTTAGTAGGGCAAATATGATCTCTTCTGTATATTAGAAAGATGTTGAGTGGGAGTTTGATTGAATTAATTAATGAATCAGAAGGGAGATAATTTTGTTGTGGTTACAGTGAAGTTCTTCTGTAAGGTCTTGGACATGTACTTCATGTTTCTTCCCTCGAATTCTGGGTTTTTAATCAGAAAATACAATATGAACATGTCAAATTGCACTGAATGTCAGTTCAACAATTACTATTTGAAATTTTGCCTCATTGAAATACAGGAAAATTATGCTCAAAAGAGTTGCCAGCAGTGACTCTTCTGAAAACACTGCAATAAGTTGGAACAAGAACAACTGTACAGCAGAACTAAAAGTAACTTCAAAGAATCCTTAGTTCTGTTAACTTCAAGAATCTGGATTTTATACTAAGTGTGGAAGTTTGATCAGAGACAGTTAAAAAAAGTATTCCATGAGCTATCTCTAATTCATGTATATATCTCTAATTTACTGCAGTCACTATGTAACTTTTTCTGTAACCATCTTATATGTTATTCTCACCAAACAATAAATTCAGTATATTTTGGAATCACTTAATTATTTTAACTAGTTTCAACTCATTTTATTAGGGCTATCTCCCTCTGCCTGAGAAACTCTCTGTTTTGTCTGACATTATGAATCAATGTGCTGCCTAAAAATCTAGGAAAAAAAATGCTTCTAAACTAGGAGTACGAGTACAGTCCTAAGACTGGAATAACAGGTTTCCATTTTAAGCATACTATACCACTTCAGAAACGAGAGTATTCTGAATCTGATAGCATTGACAGCAAATCTTCTTGAGGTCTTTAAATTAGATGAAACTAATTTTTTTAAATCTTTGATTCTGAGAGCTTTGGGTTCCTAAAGGTATTTTGAGTCATGGTCAGAAGTTGCTCTCAATGAAGTCTTTCTAAATCATTGTCTTGTAGTATGGTGTTATTTCTGCCTAGCAATATCTTTTCATTGTAGTAATTTTAAAGAGTTAAGTAATATGTTTGTTACTTGCTCTGAATGTGTGACATGTTACATGAAGACTTAACAGCGCTATCCAAGTACTCACATGACAGGCTTGTATTGTGAAAATATTTATTTAAATAGATGAGTAAGTGTTGTGGGGAGGATTGTTCTTTTTCTTTCTTACCAGAAATTCCTTTTATTTACCTGTTTTTCAGATAACGGAGGACAGACTTTGGCAGGTGGGAATAACTGGCCACTGAGAGGGAGAAAATGGACCCTCTGGGAAGGAGGAGTGAGAGGAGTAGGCTTTGTTGCGAGTCCTTTGCTGAAACAAAAAGGTGTAGAAAGTCATGAACTCATCCATATCTCTGACTGGCTGCCAACACTGGTGCACCTTGCTGGAGGAAATACCAATGGCACTAAGCCCTTGGATGGCTTTGATGTTTGGAAAGCTATCAGGTAACTTGCATGTCAAATTACCAAGTCAGCATTCTGGTATAAGAATTTAATCAGCCCAGAAAACAGAACTGGATCTGGGAGGAAAATATTATGTGTTCCTTTGCCTAAATAAAGGGAAGGTATAAATGCGGTTAACTGTGCTGTCCATAAGAGAATTATCCAGGTTTCAAATTAATCCTGTTCAGAGATACAAAGCCTCCGTACAGCTTTAAGTAGAAATTTGGAATTTTTCAGTGTAAACACAACAGCGCACAAGCATGGTATACTTTTTCAAGAACACTCTGTGATCCTGAAGTATGTTAACTGATTTTGTACAGCATGGAATATAACTATGGACCAAGCCCTGCTCTCTACAGAGCCCAGTTGGGTGTCTCTGCAAAATGCATCAGGAACTGGACACATAAAAAAAATCTATGCAGACATTTAACTCACTGAACTCAGATTCCGCTTTGATGGTTTTTAGCTCAATACAGGACTTAGCAGGCTGGCTCAAAGTGTAACCATTTGCACAGGCCTGTATCATGCAGTGTCTCAAAAAGTGTATGAGGTCAAGTACAAAATTAGAACTGACCTGGTTCCTGAGGGGTCATGATGCTGTGACTGATTCTAGCAAGGTGGAATGCTCAGAAGTACAGTGCAGACATGCTTAGATGACTGGAAGAAAGAGCCAACATAGCTCTAGCTGGGTAGACACTGTGACCAAACTACTTTTACTGGGCTCTGTCTAACTCTGTGCACCTCTCATGCTGGTGAGATTAACTGGGACATCCCAAACCCCATTAGTTCAGATAATGGAGTCTTCTGGGCACTAAAAGAAAAATGAGTTAAATCCCATACATTTTTCCTTTGGAAAAGATTAACAGAAGTGGTTATCACAAATGCTGGATATTGGGAGCTCTGGGCACATGCGGGTATGTGCTTATTACTGAAGCCTTGGGCTCAGCAGAGTAAGGAGAATAATAGAATGTATAAGAAGAAATGAAATAGACATGAACTGGTAACAATTTTTTGCCCAGGGAACAAACTATCAAAAGAAACTCTGGTGTTACTCTTTGCAATATCTTCAGTCAAGACTTATGTTCACTCAGTCCTTCATCTTTCAAAGCCTTTTCTTTATTTCAGTGTTCTTTTATTCCACTAAAATACATTATAAAGTCTTTAAAATCTGAATTTCTGCAGAATTTTAAAGTTCTCTGACCAACCCTTAGTTTTGCAAAAATTGCATTGGTTTAAATGCCTTTGTTCCTTCCTTTTTTGGGCTGCATGTAATGTATTCATTGGTAGGGCTAAATCGTATTGTCTGTGTTTTTAGGAGTTGTATTTATTTTAGTAAGTCTTTGAATATAGTTTTAATTCACAAGAATTATCTAGGATGGAAAGTTTAATACTGCTAAAGCAGAATGAAAGGACTAGCAATTCTGTTTCCTACACGCCATTCATTTGAGGATTAGAGCTGTGTTTCTTTTGGTAGCCTTTGTTATGTTTTTATAGAGGGGTAGACTGTATGTATTATGTGTGTTATAACCTTCTGTCGCCTTCTTGGGGTTCCCACCCCAGCTGGCAGGAGAAATGTAGCTGTAACAAATGTATTTATGTACCAATTGCTGATTTTTGTGCAATTTTCTACATCGTACATTAAGATAACACTGATTTTTGTGCGTCTTAGTATCCTAGACTGTGAATTACAAGAATTAATTGCAATTCCTAGACAAGAATGAGCAGGACTGCTGTTTCGGTTAGGGACTGAGATGAATAATTGAGAGTTAGGATGGGAAGATTTGAACCTATCTACCCATCAATCTGTATAGACCTTGAAGTAAAAAAAACTAAAAGAAAAAAAACAAGCCCAGTATCCCCTCCCCAGAACCAAATCCCATATCTTGAGTTAGAATTATTTTGTTTATACCTTTTTTGAAACTGTAAGCTTGGTTTCATTCTTAGTGTTGCTTCTTTCCGAGGAGCTGAGGGGTGATTTTCAGTACTAGCTGGAATTTGCAGGAAGCTCATGGCATTGTGCCCAGGTGTATTGTATGGCTTTCTTCCAAGTGGAAGAAGATAACGATATGTATAATTGAGGCCAGGGACCATTAACTGCCAAGAAGGAATGGAGACTCCCATCCAGCCAGAAAAAGAAAAATGTTTTACTTGTCAGTGTTCCTGTGGGAAAACTTAACGTCAACAAGATCCAGGGCACACCTAAACCGTAGGCTTTTCTTCCAGCTAACAGCAGAATTCCTCTCTACTTCAGGTTCTGTTTCAACCAGGTGTTCTTTGCAATGGACTGATCTGCTCAGGTCAGGTTACTTCAGCAGGAGAGTTACATGTTGGGAAGGATAAGTACAGCTGCGTCAGCACCCTATTGACATTTGTGTCTTATGTCTTTGTAAAGGGAATGAATGCAATGTTTACTGGCACTGCTGTGGGGAACAGGTGACCCTACCCTGTGGTTTTACTTCTGTCAGCAGAGGGCCTCTGTCTGGGCAGGTAAAAAGTCAGGTTTTTTAGCTGTTAGGCTGCTCTTTGGCTGACCTTGCAGCCAAAATGTCAAATTTCACATGATTTTCCCATGTAATCAGGATAAATGAGTGTATTAAATTTCATGATCATAACTCAAAAGGTCACTTGAATATTGGATAGCAAACAATGAAGGCACAGTGCCCTTTTCATGGCATCTGATGAAAAGTTCAAATATGTTGCTTTGCTTGGAATAGGTAGCTCATAATGAGTGAAATTATAATTTGCTAAGATCCTAACTCATTTGAAAAGAGGAAATTGATAGCCACTCACCATATAGCATCTATGGGGTTTTTTCAGTCTCGTATTCATAGATGCACGTGCTTCTTGTGATTCTCTTTGGGTGGGAGAGGGCCTTTAATGCTGAGCCTACTGTTTCTTATGTGTGTGTTCAAAAGAAAAAGAACATAAACTTGGAGCCTTGATTTAGATATTCAAAACAATATATCAGACAGTGCAGGTATTCTCAGAAGTCACAAAAATATTGAATCTGTTTCAGTGATATGTTAATGATCAGTATTAAAAGGATGTGTTCTTAATATGCTATTTCTGTAAAAATATAAAATAAAATAATTTAATAATTTATAATAAAATACTATACCACTGTAAATAAATGTTTATAAATTTAATACAATATAGAAATATTATTATATCTACAAAACACAGAAATTAAACTCAAAAACAATACTGCTTTAACACTGTATCAATGAGAGACGTAATAGAAGAAGAATGTGATTTAATTTAAAATAGAAAGTGAAAAAAGGCAGATTTTGCTCACACTCTCACAGCCTGACAGTCTTACTCACCAAGAGGCGTATGTGTGTGTTGGACAAGTCTGCCCAGCAACCAGGCACTGGGGCAGAGGATTTCAAGCCATCCACCTGGCATCCCAACTCCATGATGCTTGTGAACAGATGTTGGGCCCAGCATCTGTTGCTATGGTGGAAAGGTCTGGCGATGCCAGCTGTGAAGTCCTTCAAGCTCCTTCTGCGTTCTTCTTAGGCTGGGTACTGTGTACAAGTCTGGTTATGTCTGTTTGTAATCCTTTTGATGCTGCTTCTATGTTCTGCTCCACCTCTGTGAGTCCCCAGGGGCCATCACTGTTTTGTCTCCAAATGTCCCCGTGGAACTGCTCAGATGTATTGGTGTCTTGTTAATATGCTAGTCTGGATTGTCTAGGCTCTAACATAGGCTCTAATGAGGCCCTTTGCCTCCTCACAGAGACCTTCCCAGTGTTTCTTCATCCATACCAGTCTTGGACTACTTCATGCAAAATCTTGTTGAAGTACATCTTTAGACCAGTGATTCATAATTTTTATTTTTCTCCAAGTACCTTTGAAATGAAACTGAACTTCTCCTCTTACTCTAACTTCTTTTTTAAAATAACTAGGATAGTATCACTGTGTCAACCTTTTCTTGGATAACTATCAGATCTTTCCAGTCTCAAGTATAAACCTTTTACATAAATCGTAGTAGATTCCCCTTTTCTAATGCCTTAGATTATCATGGGTAACACTACAATATATCTGACACCTCTAAAACCATGTTACAAATAATTTCTGAAAATACAGTGATAATATCAATAATATATTTTACAAAAACATTAAACAAAAACAAAAACAATACTAAAATGCAACTAGTCAAGGACTCTAAACTGTACTGCATATTTCCAAGCAAGTATCTGAAAAGGCACTTGCATTTCTAACAAACATCTGTTCTCCAGATGCTTGCTACTCCATTGAAATTGAGATACTAGGCAAAATAGGTTTTTTTATGTAAAAATTTGCATTGGTTGGCAATTTTTTTTTTTTTTATATCTCTTGATTTTAAGTACTGAATATCTAACACGTCCATGCTCAGAAGAAGTATTTTATTTTGCATTAACATAAAAATGAAAAAGTAAATGGTAGAGTGCATAAAGCAGTATGATAGCACATGAGAGATTCAGGATAAAATACTGTAAAAATAACTTATTTCATAAATGCTCAGGATAAAATACTGTAAAAATAACTTATAAATGCTTATTAGTGAGCATAGACTTTCAAGTTTTTGCAGGGCAAGTTTCAATTTTACATTTCTGTAGTATTGGAAATATCAGAATTGATTACATGAAGTAAATGAAGAAAGATCAGTTTGAATTTTGTGTACCAAATGGTTACATTCATTTTTGGAATTAAACACCAGTTTGAAAAAAAACTTTCATTGTTTTGGTATAAATTAATGCTGAAGAAAGAACATTTAAAACTGAGAGTAATGTTTATTTCCAGCATATCTGAAATATATTTGTTTTGTGAAAGCACTACAGATATGACCCAGAGAAGTATGACAAGGTTATAAAGGCTGAGATTTTGCAGCGTGACACTGAGGATGTTTTTGTGCCAGATAAACGTATTTACCCTGAAAAACCTTGAATTCCTTCCCAAGGACTTGTTTAACAACAACAAAACTGAAAAGATTGCATGTAGATATTTGTTCATATTCACTAAGGAATAATAGATCTTTCTGTAAGTTTTAAAAACTTCGCAAAGGAGAAGATAAAGCAGTGTTCTCAGCATACACTAGCTGAGAATTACATTGCTGGAATTACACTGTATGCTTTCATTAAGCTGTTCTTACCTAGAGGACTGTTTTGGAAAACAATAGCTTTTAGCTGCTTAAATAATTAAGACATCTTAATTATTATACCGTCAGACATGGTAGAATAATAACCAGACAAAATAAAAAGTTCCTTATTTTTAGGTAGAGGGATGAGGTATTAAAATATTGAAGTCTAAAAATAAACACTCTAAAATTAGAGCATTGTAATATATGCTTACACTGGCAGTTACTAAAACAGAAAGGCAGGTTTCCCTAGGGAATTTTGTTTCTTTGTTGTTGTAGCTGTGTTGGCTAGACTATATTCCTGATGCAAAATGTCCTTGCAGAACATCTGCCAAAGTGAATCTGCAGTACAGTCCATGTCTGTGTGGAGTTTTGTAAGTGGGAAAGAGGACAGAGTTTAGGCACAGGGAAAGGGACCTCTGTTACACATGAAATTCCCTATTTTTTGTCCCTAGAATGTTGTTTCTGTCTTCCTGATGTCTTTTGCTGTCAGATAGGTGCTTTCTTCACCATACAGTGCCAAATTCTTTTCTTTGGCTATGTTTTATGAATAATATGTGTTGATTATAAGCATCCATGTTGCCATGTTGTGCACAACAGCAGTTCCGTACTGCTTAATTAATAATGCTATAGAGCTTAATGCAGGAATGCCATAAGCTTCAGGGAGTATATCTCATGATTATATATAAATCCCATTTCCAAGTTACTAATACCATTATTCTATCCCAGAACAAAAATGGATTCCATAAAAATGACAACTGCAGCATGACAAACTTAAATTAATGCAGGTGTAATCTTTATTTTTTGTGTTCCACCACCTGTACAATAATGTTAATAGCCATGTTTAGTGTATAATATCCACTGTCCACATTAAAAGTTATAAAGGAAATTATCTTTAATGGTATGATAGTAATACAAGTCTGCTTGAACACTGTGAATATAGTTGATATAATCATAGACTCCTGTGGAATTGTAGAACAGGTTGGGTTGAAAGGGACCTTTAAAGGTCATCTAGTCCAACACCCCTGCCATGGACAGGGACATCTTCAATTAGATCAGGTTGTTCAGAGCCCTGTTCACTTAATCTTAAATGTGCCCAAGCGATAGATCATCTGCTACCTCTCTGGGCAACTTGTGTTTAACTAAACACTAAACAGCGTTTAACTACCATCATTGTAAAAATTTTCTTCCTTATATCCAACCTAAATCAACCCTTCTTCAGTGTTAAACTGTTTCCCCTTATACTGTCACAACAGGTCCTGATAAAAAGTCTATCCCCATCTTTCTTGTAGGCCCTCTTCATGTACTGAAAGGCTGCAGTAAGGCCTTTCTGGAGCCTTCTGTTCTCCAGGCTGAACAACCCCAACGCGCTTTAGCCTTTCCCCATAGGAGAGATGCTCTAGCCCTCTGATCATTTTTGAGGTCTCCTATGGACTCTCTCCAACAGGTTCATGTCTTTCCTGTGCTGAGGACCCCAGAGTTGGATGCAGTGCTCCAGATGGGGTCTCACCAGAGCAGAGCAGAGGGGGAGAATCACCTCCCTCAACCTGCTAGTCACACAGCACTGTGTGAATACTGAATGGTACGGTATGATTATCGAATGTATAAAGATGAGAAGTAAATAGGGGGAACTTATTTCATTCTTCTGTATTTGTCTCTGGTGGAAGATACTGAATTACTTAACATATATCTGGTGGTTTTATAATATAATACTGAGCAATGTAGATGCAGCTCAGAAACTGCAAAATAAGAGTATCTTCTTGGGCAGTTACTGCAGAGTCAATGACACACTATAAAATTTACATCCTAATTTAAATTGTGCTAACTGGTTCATGTTACTGTTACCTACAAACATATGGCAAAAGGCACACTTGAAAACAGCTGTCAGTGGAGCACATAGAGACAGTTAGAGTTTATTAACTCTTACATAAAATTTGTTTAAATAAGGCTGAGTGTTCCTTAGTTAAGAGTGTGACTACTGTAGATATTGGGGAGGGGGTGGTGATGGAATTAACCTTTCACTCACATTTAGGGAAAAATATTTTTGTGGCAGTTTTTATACGCTGAATTACTAACACTGTAGCTTGATTACTATACTTTTTCTGTATTAATTACAATAGTGTATTTTCTGAACACATTTGATCATTCATCCAGTTCTCCTTGTTAGTTTTGTACTTATTCAAGATGTGTAGCATCCAGAAATGGTTTTAGAAATGCAATAGAAAAATATTAATTTTAATTATTTGTTACTGAAAATTTTAAATTACAGGTAAATATTGTTTAATTATATGGTTTATGTATTAAAATAACTGTGATTTTTTAGCTCTGAACTAAAGTTTATATTACCTTTTGTTTTTATTCTTAATGTCTAGCAACTTAGGGGCCCTGGTTGAATTTTTGTATCTTAAGTGAAGCTCCGTAATGAAAAAATCCAGTTTAATTTATTTGGAAATTTCTAAAAGGATGTGTTTAGGTTCACTATCAAATGATAATATATTGTTGTGTCTTGGTGTAGCCAAGGTTCTTTCTAGTTACATCTTCCTAGATATGTTCCCCTTTATAAGGAGTAATTTTTTTTTCCACTTAACTGAGAAAATTTGCGGGTAAGTTCAGAAGCTTATTACACACCATCTCTAATGTAGCCAATGGCTAGAAAAAGAAGGATGATTTTTGTTTTCCCAAGAAGGTTCAGAATATCTAAGTAATCCTTGTGAGATCAATTACAAATCAAAGGTGGGTTTTTTTTGTGGGATAGCGATGCCTGTGGTGTTTTTTGAGGCACCCAGCCAAAATGCTTTCAGCACTAGTTCAGGTATGCAGAGAGCATAGCAAATGCCATGCCAGCTTATGCTGCGAAATTTGATTCTTAAAGCTGATTGTTGTAAACCCTGCTTTGGTAGGGCCGCTTCTGTATTCTCTAAATTTATGAATAATCCCCATAAACACCAGTGAAGTTAGGGGAAACTTATAGGGGCAAAAGCTGTTTCTACTAGGCTAGAAAGGAGCATTCAGATTAAAGCTGATAGTAATGAATTTCCAAAGCTCACTCTGTATTAGGATGACAAAAAACCAGAATCTTAATGAGTTGTAGGGGGAAATTAATATTTCCTTTTGAAATCTCTCTTAGTGAAGGAAGACCTTCTCCCAGAGTGGAACTGCTGCACAACATAGACCCCATGTTTGTGGATGACTTCCCATGTGAGTATGCTATTGACTGCTCAAGATTTATTAAACATACAGTTTATCTTCTGAACACTTCTTGTTTTCTTTAAGTGAAGTATTTCCTTTAGGGTGAAACAAAATACAGTAGGATGCCTTTTGCTTTTAAGCAAATAGATTTAAATACAGAAACATTGTCCCTGAGATGCTGTAAGTACTTAATCATGACCAACATGCACTTCCTACTTCAGAGAGCTCTGAAACACTGGTGAGTAATGAATAAAGTACTCTGGGACATGGAAAGGTTGAGGAGCAGCCGTGTGCCTGAGGTGCATGGGGAGGCACACTGCCAAAACCCCCTTCCAAACCCTCTCTTCAGTGTTCCAAATGAACTGCTCACCATAATGCATCTTGATAGAGCTATATAATATGACCTTGAAATGGAAAACTTCATTTTGTGAGAAGCTGAGAAGTTCCAAGCCTTGTGATTGCTTTTGTTCTATAATCATGTGGGTTGGATCTTCAATGCCACAATCCCATGAACTGGAGCTGAAGTTTGCTAATTCTATAGCTCTTTAAGCACCATCTGTTTTATGATTCAACGTTATTAATTTGCTAAGGACTACAAACTTTTGAGGCAGACATTTTTTTCAAACAGAACATTGGAACAGGCCCTTTCCAGTGTTTTTACAGCATTTCTGTATTTCATTAAATAAAGAAGTAAATCCAGGCAAAGGAAAAGTAGAGCAATGGAGACAGTGATCTGCTGCCAGCAAGGCAAATACACATTGTGCTGCAATAACTGGATGGAAAGGGGTAAGATGGCCTTTTGCAATGCACATCTGGTTCTGTGATGCTTTTTGTAGAAGGAGCAACATTGTGCCTATCTAGTGCTGACTGAGCAGCATTGCCTGCAGATAATTCCTACATACGGATTGAATTAAGGTGTAGCTACTCCAGTTTCTCTTCAAAGAATGCTCAGTGAATATGCTCAGTAGCATTCCTAAATGATGTTTTGTCCTGACGTAATATTGTTGGGCATACATCAGAGACCATCTTTTCCCTGTGGGAATGGCCTATGATTGATCTCAGCAGAAGTATTTGAGTAGACAAATTCCTGGTGTAAACAGAAGTGGGACAAGCAGAGATTTTCAGGATCCTGAGCTCTTTGGAAATATGTCACCAGATTGCTTTCATGATACCACGCTCTGACAATCCTTCTCTGTTTGCAGCGTACATCATGGCTTTAGTTTTTGTGTGCATGGCATGAAATGTAGGCAGGGAGTGGGGCAGGTGGTGAGAAGCTGTAATAGCATAACTCTTGTGCTAGATGAGGTGTGGTTTTTAAGTGTCATGAACAGAGGAAGGTATATGCATGCCTGTAAATTTACGATGTTTTATGTACTATTCAAAACTAGACTAATTAAAAACAAAAACTTGATTCTTCACCAACATGATCTTATGCACCATATAGGGTTTCACTGTCTCTTCTCAGGCCTATACTTTTGGCAAATTACTTTGTGTCTTAGTGAAATTATGCTTTGTCATATAAGAATTAAAATTTCTATTTAGCAATCTGAGTTATTAGGAGTAATTGTATGTGAGTCAGCTGATTCCTGCACACTGTTTTTCATATGTGGAAACTGAGTAATAAGCTTCCATAAAAACTGGTGTCTCTATTAGGAAGACACAAAGCTGAATACAAGTACTTTCATATTTTCTGCAAATATCATGGCTCTCTTTGTGCTTGTTTTGTTTTGTTTAATTTTGTTTGGTTTTAAAACGCATCTTAAACTGCCCATACAATCTCCCTGTCACTGAGGTGATAAACTGTGTCACTCTGGACTCTTGATCTTTCCTTGACTGTTTATCATTTGCATGTCCTAACTCTTTTGACATCAGAGTATTCTTATGCAGGTTTTGCTGGGTGCCCTCTAACCGCCAGTGTAGGCCTTGACCTTCTTTATGCATATTTAGCTCATGTTCTAGCCAGCTTTAAAAAATCTCATCACATTAAATCATCTTGTGTCAGATAAAGTATTCCTACTAATGCTTTTTTTTTGTAGAAATTTGAATTAAAAAATGAAATAATAACTGAAAGACATAGATTAGCCAAATCTCTGCATTTGAGGAGGATAGCAAATAAGCAAGTAAATCTCAAGATACTGTTAAATATTACATACTTTTTAAAAAGCCTTTCAGGTTGTTCTGTATAGTCAGGCAAGAAGACAGTTTACTGTTGTAGTTGGCATTAAGTTAGTACTTTACTTGCACTCAATGCAGGTTCAGTGTTCCTGAACTCTTGAGTGGTTTTGCTTATTATGTATACATTCTTTAAGCATAATATGTTTTTATTTAATGAATGTATTTATCTTCCTCTCTCTCTGAATAACTGTTAATATTTAGTAGCCTGAATGATGGGATATCTCATGTAATTAATTGATTTTTTTTTTTTTTTTTGAAACTGAAATAGGGAAATTGAGCTTTGTTCTGTTCAGATTTTTTACAGCAAAATAAAAATTCCTTTAGGGAAGAATTCATGTAAAAGAATAGTTTAGTGTCAACTCAGCTGTTACAGCCAAGTGTTCAACAGAATGTTAAAGTAAAGTAATAGAACATGGTATCTTGATTACAGAACTAACAACATCTCTGCTGCTGTGGTCTGTTAGAACTGAGCTTGGGCTGTCTGTTTACTACTCGTGGGGTAGCATCACATAACTTTTCAAGTTTTCAGTCTGAGCGCTGGTTTCTAACCTCCACTTACCTTTGTTTAGGAGCTGAAGCAGGATGCCCAATGGTAAACACTGTAGCCCTGCAGTAGTCTTGTATCAAAGTACTGTACTTCCTTCCTATTTGTAATACTAAACAGCATAAGAGGGAAAACACTGTAAACTAGATTTCCTGTGGTTCCATTTTACGAAAAAGTGCAGTCAGGTCTCTTATTTCACTGACTCCTTTAAGTAATCGTCTTCTCTCTCAAAGGCCAGGCTTTCTTCATTCAAATATAAACCTTTCCTGTGGTCTGATACGCATCAGCAGTATTTTACACTGTGATTCCTCGTTTGTCATCTTTAGTGCTAATAAAAGTTTTCCTGTCCCTGGCTGCACACTTTGCTTTCAGCCTCCCTCTGACCTGTGGCAGCCCAGTGGAGGGGCTGTAGTTGAAGCAATCATTTCTCTCAATGAACTGATCTGGCTTGTAGTGCAGACCTACAAGAACTGTAGTTGTGGAATGAAGAACTGGGGTGGGATCTCTAAAACTAGGATGAATAGAGGGGTGGATTGTGGTCTTTGGGTGTTAGGAAGCCAGTGTGGTGGTGAGCTATTGCCAAGATGTCCAGCTTGTCCTTTTCTTCCTTCACTTGTGTTAGATGTGGAAATCACACGGTGACAAGATGATTCTTCTGCCAGATCAGCCTTCAGACTGTTCTGGTAGCCAGGTGAAGGAGGAAGAAAGGTTTCTACCACATCAGTCAGCTGAATCTCCTTGCCCTGTAGCTGTATGACCGGGAGCAGGGAGTCAGTGTGTGGTTGGTGGCAGATGAAGGGACTGGCCACAGGATTCGTCAGCTAAGATCTGCTCTGACAACCTTGGAAGCTTCAGCCAGAGGCAGTAGTTTCATGGGGTTTAAGCTAATGTATCTTGCTTCTGCTAGCACAGAGGATATCCTGCCTCCCATGGTGTCTCACCACCACTCCCCTCTTTCGCAGTCACCAAAACTACACACAGAGCCAGGCTATGAGCCAGGTCAGGATATTGGTTCAGATTTTAATAACCCTCTTTTTTTACCCCATTTGGATCTATGTTGGATAACCAAGCGCATTTTGGCACAAAGAATGGGATTAGAAGGAATTTTGGGGGAAAGGTGAGACTGATTCTTTTGGCTCTGAAATCAAGCTCTGATGTTTCTGTTGCATGATATACGATGAAGTGATCCAGCGGGTTTCTGCTGGGAAAGTGCTTCACTTTCTCCCCTTTCCATTCCCAGCCACGTGCTCCTAGTGCTTGTTATGCATCCATTCACGAAGTGGATACCTCCATGGACCTATCTAATTTGCTAGCCTGGTTTTCCTTTGTCATGTAGGTTGACTGTGCTCATTGAAGGGGCTGATGGATGCCAGCAGCAACTTAAATCTGGGGCAGTGAGGGCTGTGTGGTTGGAAGAGAGGAGGCAGAGACAAACTTTCTAGTGCAGTCTGGCTGCTTCTGGAGCCAGAGCCCCAGGGGGAAGGAGTGGGAAACCACATCTGATTGAACCTTGCCATACTTAAACCAGTCTGGTGAGCTCTGCAGATGCAGCTGGGCCTGCCCTCCTCAGAGGTGATTGCTCTTCTCCCTCCTTACTAAAAGCCATTGCTTTTGTCTTTCTGGTTGTTTCTTTATCACACTGTTGATTTTTTTTCAAAAGTGATGAATGTATGTCTCAATTGCTTGGTCTCAGCGTAGATTTGTAGTTTATTAGAGAGCTTAAAATTATCTAAAATTGGTATGAAAGATCTATTGTCTTTGCATCTGAAACGTATTTTCTGTTAGCTTTAAGAATTCAGTAGTAAAATAAGAAAATTAAAAACAGAAAGCTAAAATTATGTTGAGAGTATAATTTTCTCTGTAATGTATAGGTTAAGAAAACACAAATAAAATGCAACTTAAAAGTGGCACAAATCAAAAGTCTTATTTACATGCATTTGAAGGGAAAAGAAACAAAATTGGTTTGCCTCATTTTTGTGACTTTGTCTTTAAAAATTAAAAAACCCAGCAAGTTGTTGCTGGTTTGGCAGCTGTGTGGGTGACATCAGCTCTCCCATTGTGAAAAATCTGCTGTCTCCTAAACAGCCTTATGGCATTTCATCAAGTTTTGGTGATTCAGCTGAACTGAAACCCAACTGGATTTAAGTCTCAATTCCCCTAATTGCTAAACCAAACTTATTTCTGACCACACCATCATTGCTAGATGGCCTGTCTTGAAGCAGTATTGAAACTTTATATCCCACTAAAGTTAATTTTATTTTGAGAATAAGAACTAAATGACGTGCTGAAA